AAGGAGGAGCTTGAGGGAACACGTTACTTCACGCAGCGCCCCAAGGAGAAGTGGGACTATCATCGTGTAGATGAGAACATAAACTCCTCTTCAGAATTTCGCCAGACACACGATAGACCTGCGTTCGAGCAGGGCATGCGCGAGGACAACTCTACTACGGAACATGGAGACATGCATACTCCCAAGAAGTATCGTCTGTACGAGTACTTTGATGAATATACAAAACCCGGGGTGAACAAAAAGGTGGCCGCTTGTTACGCGGTAAAGGAACAGTGGGATGCGGAGGAATTCTATTATCCCGGGGAAGCGTGGCAGAAGAATCGTCCCGGTTTCCGTAGCGTTCCCAAGGAATTATTGAATCGACAAACGTGGTATCACTGGTCTGACACAATAACGAAGTGGGATGAGATTCAACCAACAATGCGCACACGGTCGTGGAACCCGGACTGGCCACCTCCAGGTTACACCGTGCCAAAATTACAATGTAAAAAGGAGTTTGCCTTTGGTGTGGAGGAACCTGGCCTTGTGTCGGAAGTGGAACGCTACAATTGGTTTCGATCGTGGAGTGACAATAACATTCGTACTGGCTGGAAAGACGTCTGGCTCTTTGGTATTTTGTTTGGCACAATGTACTATCTTGCCCGCAATGCACTTGACATTGTTGCAATGAGGGCAATGATGAGCAACATGTACTACCCCGGTCGGCAGTTTGTACGACCCTTCGGTGTTCCAAAAGACTGGGAGAAAGGTGTCTTTTGGTGGCAACGTCCATTAGAGGAATTTCCCAATCAGGGAGAGGTTTGGTACATGAATGAGGCGCTTCAAATACATCAATTACATCAAAAAACGTGACGCTCAGGAGCGACTCTTGGCAGAAGCCGAGGCGGTTGAGGCTTAAAAGAAGAGAAGTCCGATAGATATAAATGTCAACGGGAAGGTAGGAAGTGGAGAAAAAACATATATATGTAGCAATGTGTGGTGGTAATAGGAGTAGCAGGATGGGGCAGAATGCAGTGGGGGATTGGGGGGGGAAGGTTTATTTATTTATTTTAGGGATTTATTTCTTATGTTTGTTTGATAGTCCGGATGCTTTTTTTTTTTTTTTTTTTTTTTGGTTAGTTCGTTTGTTTGTTTTTGTTCATGTTATTTGTCGGTGGCAGAGTGCGAAGTGTGTGTGTTTGTTGTGCTTCTTTGCGATTCTCTGCATGCATTGAGGTGGATGCGGCAGAAGTTATTATGGGCTTTTTTGCTGCCCATCCCCCTCCTCCTCCTCCTCCTCCTACTGCCTTCTTGTGCAGCGAGTCGTCGAGTATCGAAGTGTGTGACGTGTCGGTTGGGAGGAAGGGGTGGGGAGGGGTG